CCACATGCACCAAAAAAAAGTGTTGACAAGGAAACTGAAGATTTACTGTAACATATGCTTGCTTTCATACCAAACTACCGAAGAAAATTGTAGTAATATAAATGGGTCCCTCATCTTTTCAATCTGTTATTTTATTTAAATGAGAACTAAAATAATACAAATTCTGATAGCTATTTTAAATTAGTCTAGGGAGCATACATTTTATTTACTGAATAGTTTGATTACATTTCACAAAATCAATTTTTTCTTTTGCTGTGGAGCTTCACATGAGATCACAATAATAGTTATGTAGAGCTACCCCCCAGAGGAGCCACTTGCATTTTTGCCCAAGTTTCCCCTTTCTTTGTGCCACAGCAAGACATTTTTCACAGCCAGGTACACACACACGTCTGCTCGTTGGTTGTCTTCAATGATCAGTCTTGGGTTTGTCCTTTGAGTTTTATTGTAGAACTGGAGATAGGGATTCGGAATTTAGTAGGATACTCCAAGATTAGAACTACATCACACCGAGGACATCTAGCTGATCTCTTAGTTGAGCACTTTTGAAGTCCTGGCTGAAAGCAGATAGAAGACTTCCCTTTACTTTGTAGCAACAAGTAGTTTAGGAGTGAGCAAAGTCTCTTTTTGCAGTAGTAGTTGCACGGCTGAGCTCCTCAGGTACAGGCATGTTACCGCAGACTGTGGCAGTCCAAAAGTAATAGAATTGAGCAAGGTCCTTTGCAGTTGCAACAGTTGGACAAGCTCTTCAGAAAACCAGCCAGTATTCCCTTCTTCTCAGACCCATGCTGAATATCAAGCACAAGAGGGGTAGCAAGTCCACAAAGTCCACAAGAGCTCTAAGCATCTGTACTCACAAGTCCAAGGACAGAATGGCAGCCTTCCTCCAATCTTCCAAGCAACTCTCTCTCCAGTGATACTAGACAGATCCTTGGCAGACAGCTCCCCTCAGTCAGCTTACTGTAGAACCAGGGTCACTCTTTCTAACTTCAGGCCATCAGGCCTGAGGCCTGCATGGCAGGAAGAGCCAGGTGAGGAAAGCTTGCCTCCAGCCTGGCTTGGTGCAATCCTCTCCAGGGAAAGATGCTGAACCCATGTGCTCACAGAACATAAATACCACTCCCAGCATCCAATGCAGCCACTCTCCCCTGCAATTGGCCAGGCCTGTATCCATATTCATGCTGCTCATTTGCCTAGTTCCCTTCCAGGTTCTGGAAGGCTATCATAGCTTCCTGAAGGCAGGCGGAACTCAGGCAAACTGAAACAGCACCAGAGCATCATGAGCAGACCTGACTAATCTATCACAGCACTCTGTTAAGCAGAGAGCCCAATTCGATTTTCCTAACAGTCTCTTTGTTAAGCAGAGAAACACAGCTATATTTATCCTAACTATACATATCCTAGTACCTAACTAGGAAGGTGATACAATTATTAAACATATACAAAATTGCACTTTTTTCTTTGTGAGCTGTAGCAGTATCTGCAATGAACATTTTTTGCAGCAAAGTTCCTGTTCCTATTTATAGCAGTCTGTTGTTGGGGTATTAGGAAAGACAACTGCTAGTAAATAACAAAAAACTGTGTAAAACACGGCTAGATAAGGTCAGAAATCAACAGGAGCAGCAACATATGTGCATACAAGCTTCAATCCCCCAAAACAATCAGAACATCTTACAAAAGTAAAAATAGTTCTAACTGTATTGTTGATATTAATTTTCTTAGCTGAGGTTCTTACTGAAAGAATAAAATGGAACTTTGACCCAGCCTGACCCAGCAACTTTGAGTACCAAAGTTCATATACAGTATACTGTACATGTTGAAGATATACTAAAAATTGTGCAGAATAATTCATATGTAACAGGCAGTGGCATATTACAGAATGGTTTAGACAAAATAGCAATACAGGTTTTCAATGTTCATAATAGAAAGGTTATATAGCCCTAAGCCATGTAATGCCTCTTTACATTCAACAGAATACCATTCAAATAGATTTGAACAAGGGGTTTAGAAGTATTGATCAACATCACATCAATAACGCTTGACAGAGAAGTATGGGAATTAAAAAAACAAACAAACAGACAGTATATGCTCAACTAGGCGGATGCAGAAGTGGTCCGATGCTGCATTTGTCCCCACTGACAACTGAGTGGTCAAAGCCTGCTGATTGCTCAGTTCCCGGACTTCAGCGAGCAGAGAGCTGGTGACTGCTAGTCACCGCTCTGTGCTCTGCCCCTCTAGCGCTCACTGGGGTGCTGAAACTGTGGAAGGAGCGGCTCAGACTCTCAGTGGTTCACTGACAGGCTGAGCCAATTGCAGGTCCAGGCATCTGGGTGGATCCCAACATTAAATTTGGCTCTCCCCTGAGCCTGGACTGGCTCTCTGATGTCAGCAGATAGAGGGCTTTAGCCCACTGTCGACTGAATACGGGCCACATGACTACAAAACTAGTTGCACTCCTGTGACCCACAGGAGAAGTAGGGCTGAAAGAACTTTGGCCCTCCTCCTCCTTTAAAGTTTTTGTTCAGAAAAAAATTTTCATTTTGTATAGAGTGGGGAAGGATTAGAGCCAATCAACAAACAAAAAATAACACTGTCAGCGCTACATGCCAGATAAAAAAAAAGACCAGGAATGTGACAAAAAAAAGCAACTAGTAATAAATGAATATCTAAATAAAGTCCTAAGATTATAAGCCCTGTACAATTTTTATTGCCACCCAGTGTTTTGTTTTCCCTCCTACCTCCTGTCCTGTCGACAATGGAAAGGAAGTGAGAGAAAATCTGCAACAGGGACAGAGAAAGAAATAAGAAACATCTGACAGGGTCTCTAACCTATACTTGCCCAACTGAAAGGAAAATATTTGTACTTCTCAATGAGACAGAAAGTGAAGGGAAATCTGTCTAATGTAAAGCTCATAACAATAAAATTGTCAGGGGTTCAAATCCTTCTCCATTCTATCCAACACTAAAAAAATGGCTGGACATATACTTTAAAGCCCATGGGGAGCTACAACAGCAAATCAAACTGTAGAATGTATACAAAGAGCACAAAAATCCACACCACAAGTTTTATACTTTTATGTATAAATCTCTTCTATATTACATCTTGCTATGGGAGATAGCTTAGTGCATTATGTTGTAAGAAGGGCAAAAGAGACTTTGAAAGGGTTCAGATGAGGGGTTCAGGTGAGGGGTAGATTAAACAAAATGGATAGGAGGTCTCACATGCAGTGCATGCTCCCTTCTAAATAAAAATGTTACAAATCAGATAAAAAAAATACTTATGCATATGTTTGCCTTCTGGGATTGCTAAACACCTAAAATATGCCCCAATCTATTTCAGGAGTTTATTCTTGTGGGAATTTGAGTGCCCAGGAGGCAACAGTGAGACACCCACATCACTTCCACCTCCCGAAAGTGTCAGAAGCTGAATATTTTAAAATATTTTCTTTGTAACATTTTACATTTCAAAGTGTTTTTAAGCTAACTTTGTTTGGGAATTTGGGCATAGGCAGTATGTCATGAAAGCAGATCTTCCATTTGAATGGAAGGTCCAACTTAAACTAAGCACCTAGCAAGATTCAATATGACCTGGAAATAGTGATTCCAGACCTTTTCCTTCACACTGTCTAGCCTGTCTGGGGCGAGCCAAGCATCATCTGTAAATCTCCCATATTCATAAGAGGCAGATATCTTTTTATGAATGATGACTGTGGAACATGTCCCATGCTGAGATGGTTTGTATTGGTTACAAGCCATGGTGAAACAGAACTTTCTTACATATTATTTGTCTCTGCATAGAAACCTAATCTTTCAGACTGCTCTAGCACCAGAGTTGATGTGCACAATGTGAATGTCTAATGCATGTCATGCTTTATTAAGGAGGACTGCTTGTTTATATTATATTATACATGCATTGCATTTATTTTTTTTTATTAAACCACATTGATATTTTTACTATGTAGTTTAATATTATTTTTTGCTTTTAAAAGTAAAGCCAGATGCCATGCAAGAAGCTAAATATAATGTTAAAATACATATACAGTGGAGCAGCTTTTGTGTATAAATTAGAATTCATTTTTTAAAAATCAATAACTGGATAAAATAGTACCTTTTTATACCTGCCTGGAGATCAGGTTTAATATATAATAACAAAAATTAATATTTGTATTCACCCATTTACTTTTTTTGCACAGTTAGTATTATGCGTAATAGAAATGACACACAGCCAACTGAATTCATTCTTCTAGGACTATCAACATATCGTCAACCATTGCTTTTTGGTATACTTCTAATAATTTATTGTTTAACCTTGATGAGCAATATGATGATCATTGTAACAGTGACTGTAGATGGTCGACTTCAGTCCCCAATGTATTTTTTCTTACGGAGCTTGTCTCTTACTGAAATATTCTATGTATCAGTGACAGTTCCCCGAATGCTTACAGACATTTTAAATCTAAATAAAGCAATATCGTTTTTGGGTTGTGCTTCCCAACTTTACTTTTTCTGTTTTCTCGGTACAACAGAGTGCTTCCTGCTTGCAGTTATGGCATATGATCGATATGTGGCTATTTGTCACCCTCTTCATTACGTGACCATAATGACCAAAGCTAAGTGCTTAGAGTTTTCACTAGGCTCATGGCTGTCTGGAATTTTATTGTCAATAATCCAGATTTCCTATGTTTTTAGTCTGCCTTTCTGTTCCTCCAATATCATTGACCATGTCTTCTGTGATATTCTTCCAGTGGTGAAGCTAGCTTGTGCTGACACTTTTGCTAATGAAATAGCTATTTTAATATACAGCTCTCTAGTTATACCTCTACCATTCTTGCTTATTTTGGTGTCCTACATAAGTATCATTACTACTATATTAAGAATGCCTTCAGGTGTTGGAAGAAAGAAAGTATTTTCAACATGTTGGTCTCATCTGACATCTGTAACTTTATTCTATGGAACAGCTACAATCACATATCTCAAGACGAAATCAACCAAAACCTTTGGAGGGTCAAAAGTTATTTCTCTCCTCTATATTATAGTTATTCCAATGCTCAATCCTCTAATATATAGCTTGAGAAATTCAACAATTAAAAATGCCATAAAAAGACTAATACATTTTAACAAGACTTCCTAATTCTATACCTCAGGTTATACCTCAATTCGTCTAAATATTTTAAAAGAAATTAAAGAGAATTGATAACAATGATGTGTGTTATTCTAAAGCCAGACACTTTAAATGTAGAAAAGGATAGCTTAATAAAAATATACTACATTTCTAGTAGTATTAGGACATGTCAAGAGGGTGTATGGTATATCAAATCAGCTATAAACATTAGAAACAAAGGCCCATCCTTCCACATAGAGACTACTGAATCCTGTCAAAAGCTGGGGAATGTAAGGGTATGCTCCAAGCCCCTGAGGTAGATGTTATATTGGAATGCATTGGGTCAACTTACATGGAGTCATCTACTTTGAACAACAAAAAATGCATGGATAGTTATACCATGGGCTGAATGGAGTATATAGGTCATGTAGATGTTCACATGAGGGGCAGAGCTTATGACCACCAAGCTGACAGCAGCCCAGGACCACCCCAGGATACCTGCACGGCAGCACCACCAGAACGGGTAAGCTGCCACCACCGATCCCCACAGACCTGCCAGCCTCCGCAGGGCCCTCCCCACTAGCCCTGTGTCCATCCCTGACCACCAGGAACCAGCTCAGGCCCACTGATCGCTGCTCCGCTGCCCAACCCATACATCGGTTCTGGGCCCACCCCCTGGACACCCTGCACCCAGCTACCGGGCACCCAGCTACCACCCCTGGACACCCAGCACCCAGCTACCGGGCACCCAGCTACCGGACACCCAGCTACCACCCCTGGACACCCAGCTACCGGGCACCCAGCTAGCACCCCTGGACACCCAGCTACCGGGCACCCAGCTACCACCCCTGCACACCCAGCTACCGGGCACCCCAGCTACCACCTCTGGACACCCAACACCCGGACCACCCAGCGAATCTCCAGTCACCGAGCCGCCAGCATCACCAGACACCGTGCCTACCAACACCCCCAGACATCGCACCCTACGACCCCTCCACTCGCCGATCCACCGGACCCACTGAAGACCCCTCGGACGCCAGCATACTGCACCCACAGATTGCAGCTACAGAAGGACTCTAGTGGACTCCTCCACGGTGATACAGACTCTCCACGTCACCTCGCCCTGACCCGTATCCCTTCACCTCCCCTGACCCGAACAGCACTGCACTCACCCCAGCATGCCACCTGCACTTCTCCTCCTAGTTTTCCTCTCCTCCATCCCAAAAATCGCCTCCCTCTACCCGCCCACCCCCCCAAAACAGCTCTACATTGCCCCTTCACTTCTGCCCTCTCCCCACTACTGCACTCACCACCTCCTCCTGGTACTCCACTCCCCGGTCGACCCACGTGCCACCACTACCAGACCCACACGCTCCTACACCTCCCATTCCCATGCCACCCTCCTCACCCTTCTCCTTCTCCTATCCGCTGGGGACATCTCCCCGAACCCTGGCCCCTCACCACCTCTCCCCCCCTCCAGGAACCCCCCCCTCCAGGGACCCCCCTGCCCCCGCCAGCCGCAACCCCCTCAACCTCATACCTGTGCACCTCCTCCCCTCATCCATCCCCCCTCTCTCGGTTGCACTTCTGAACGCCCGTTCGGTTTGCAACAAACTAACTGCCATCCATGACCTCTTTATCTCCCGCTCCCTCAACCTCCTAGCCATCACCGAAACCTGGGTACAGGTCACCGCCAAAGCCAAAGGCGACTACTCTGTCCTCCTCCTCCTAGACCTCTCCGCGGCCTTTGACACAGTCGACCACCCCCTCCTCCTTAATAAACTACTCTCCCTTGGCATCAGAGACACCGCTCTCTCTTGGTTCTCGTCCTATCTATCCCAACGCTCCTTCAGCGTTTCCTACAACGATGCCACCTCCTCTTCCCTCCCCCCTCTCTGTTGGGGTCCCCCAGGGCTCTGTCCTTGGACCCCTTCTCTTCTCTATCTACACCTCCTCCCTTGGCAAACTCATACACTCCCACGGCTTCAATTACCACCTCTACGCTGATGATACTCAAATCTACCTATCCACCCCTCACCTCACCCCCACATTCTCCGCCCGCATCACTCACCTCCTAAACGACATCTCTGACTGGATGTCGCTCCATTTCCTCAAGCTCAACCTCTCCAAAACCGAGCTTCTCGTCTTCCCCCCAGCCCGCCCCCCCCCCATCCTTTCCATCACTACCAACAACACCACCATCAATCCCGCCCAGCAAGCCAAGGTCCTTGGCGTCATTCTGGACTCAAACCTTTCCTTTCAACCTCATATCAAATCACTTACAAACACATGCAGGCTCCACCTCCGGAACATCACCAAGATACGCTCCTTCCTTACCCCAGACACCACTAAACTACTCATACACTCCCTGATTATCTCACGCCTTGACTACTGCAACTCCCTCCTCACCGGCCTACCCCAGTGCAGGCTCTCCCCGCTTCAGACCATCCTGAACTCAGCTGCCAGACTCATCCACCTCACCAGCCGCTCCACCTCTGCCCACCCCCCTCTGCCTCTCCCTCCACTGGCTCCCCATTGCCCAACGCATTAAATTCAAATTGCTCACCCTGACCTATAAGGCCATTCACAACACTGCCCCTAACTACCTCACCGACCTGATTCCCAGGTACCACCCTACCCGTACCCTTCGCTCTTCACAGGACCTCCTTCTATCTTGCTCCCTGGTCTCCTCCTCCTACGCACGACTGCAAGACTTCTCCAGGTCCTCCCCCATCCTCTGGAACTCACTACCCCAATCCATCAGACTGTCACCTTCCCTCCTCACCTTCAGGCGCTCCCTGAAAACCCACCTCTTCAGGGAAGCCTACCCCACCCTCACCTAACAGCCGCTGCCCTTCCCTCCTCCTACCACTCCATCCCCCACAGCCGTTTCCTCCTGTGCCTCTACCCCCTCCCTCCTAGATTGTAAGCTCGAAAGAGTAGGGCCCTCTTACCCCTTGTGTACTGTTTGATGTTACTGTTCTGTTTCATGTATTGTCCCCCCTCTATTGTACAGCGCTGAGCAAACCCTTTGGCGCTATATAAACTCGATAAATAAATAAATAAAATAAATGATGTGTCAGCCTGTTTTCTTTTGTTTTTAGGATTTTATGTTTTTGTAATAAACATATAAATAAGTGTTTATGTGAAAAAAAATATTTTTTGTATTTATTATGTTCTGGTGGTGTCTTTAAATTCCCAATTGGTTTCTTTTTTGGATTTCTAACCCTGAACAATGACAGCTGATACTGGAGCAAGTGCATGTAGGTAAGAAACAGTGTATGAGAGATCAGCAGTGTTGAGAAAGCTTGAAAAATCAAAATCAGCATTTTCTAAAAAAATGTTTATACATGGTTTTTTAAAAATTGCATGTCATTTACATATGGTCTAACTTACTTTTAATGCCATCGTTTCAATATATTGTTGTTAATTTGCAAACAGCAAGCAAACGATTACTCAGTTTCAGGCAAATAAATATAATTGATAGTCTGTAGTTCTCTGACAAACCTCAACATTAGGCTACATGTGTGTATTATGCACAGAGCACCAAGACCTGTATGACTTTACAAAATAGGAGATTTACAGTAATTTATCCCTTATCTTTTTCTGTAACTCTTGTAGGAACACATATGTGAATTTAGGTATGTATAAAGGCAACAGCCCCAAAACACCCTGATGCCTTCAAAAACAAATAATCGATGGTAGACCCTTGATTTCTATCTTGACAGATTGTTTTTTTTGTTTGTGTGTGTCTACTTGGGCATCTGCAAATGATAAACAACGTTGAAAGCAGTCTTTTACCTTTGCCTTGAAAAACATGGGGTCATATAGCTCCCACTCCTCATCACATCCTAATTTTATTAGCATATTTGCATATAGGGATTGCCATATACTGTGGGGATCGAACGTTTGGGCACCCCAGCTAAAAATTTGTATTAATGTGCATAAAGAAGCCAAGGAAAGATGGAAAAAATCTCTTGCCCAAAAGGCATCAAATTACAGATTAGACATTCTTATAATATGTCAACAAAAGTTAGATTTTATTTCCATCATTTACACTTTCAAAATAACAGAAAACAAAAAAATGGCGTCTGCAAAAGTTTGGGCACCTGCAGAATTTATAGCATGCACTGCCCCCCTTTGCCAAGCTGAGACCATGCCCCGCCAGTGTCATGGATTGTTCTCAATCATCGTCTGGGAAGACCAGGTGATATCAATCTCAAAGGTTTTAAATGCCCAGACTAATCTGACCTTTGCCCCAACAATCAGCACCATGGGTTCTTCTAAGCATTTGTCTAGAAAACTGAAACTGAAAATAGTTTGACACTCACAAAGCTGGGAGAAGGCTATAAGAAGATAGCAAAGCGTTTTCAGATGTCAATATCCTCTGTTCGGAATGTAATAAAGAAATGGCAGTCATCAGGAACAGTGGACTAGTTTTTTAAAGCAAGATCTGGAAGACCAAGAAAAATATCAGACAGAACAGCTACGTCGCAGGATTGTGAGAAAAACAATTCAAAACCATTTACGTTTGACTGCACGATCTCTCCCAAGAAAGATCTGGCAGACACTGGAGTTGTGGTACACTATTCCCACTATAAAGAGATACTTGTACAAATATGGTCTTCATAGAAGAGTCATCAGAAGAAAAAACCTCTTCTACGTCCTCACCACAAAAATCATCATTTTGAACTTTGCAAAATGAAATATAGACAGCCTGATGCATTTTTGGAAACAAGTTCTGTGGCTGGGACCGATGAGGTTGAAATTGAACTTTTTGGCCGGAATGAGCAAAGGTACGTTTGGAGAAGAAGGGGCACAGAATTTAATGAAAAAACCTCTGTCCAACTGTTAGGGCATGGGTTGGATCAATCATTCTTTGGCGTTGGTGTTGCAGCCAGTGGCACAGGGAACATCTCACGAGTAGAAGGAAAAATGGATTCAAATAAAATTTCAGCAAATTTTGGATGGTAACTTGATGCCATCTGTGAAAAAGCTGAAGTTAAAGAGAGGATGGCTTCTACAAATGG